CCCCCCCCCCGTAGGCGGGCTGCTCTGGTGACTGTGCTCTTTGTCCCCAGGTGACCTCCTTCAGCACGCCCCCCACCCCGGAGCGGAACAGCCGGCCTACCTTCTTCTCCCCATCCCTCAAGAGGAAGGTGCCCCGGAGCTGGGTGGCGGAGATGAAGAAATCCCACTCGGCCAACGACAGCGAGGAGTTCTTCCGCGAGGATGCCGGTGGAGGTGACCGCCCGGGCCCGCGGCCTCCTGTGGCTCGGTCATTCATTCATTCCCTCACTCACACCTAGAGAGCAGCGGGGCCAGGGCGGTCCGGCCAGGGTGGGGACGGCGCTTCGGACAGACAGCCCTGCCCTGAGGAGCCCCCTTCCCCGGGTGTCCGCGTGCAGGCCGAGGGCCCACAGCAGTTGGCGCAGCTTCAGGGCTCCTGCCCTCGCTGCCATGGTGGTCTGACTGTTCCCCGCAGCGGGCCTGCCGAGGGCGAGGCGGGCTCTGGTTCATTCTTGTTTTGTTTTTTTAATCTTTACCCGAGGATATTTTTTCCATTGCTTTTCGGGGGGGGGGGAGAGAAACATCCATGCGAGAGAAATACATCGATTGGTTGCCTCCTGCACGTGCCCTGACTGACCGGGGCTGAGCCTGCAACCGAGGTACATGCCCTCAGCAGGACTTGAACCCGGGACCCTTCCATCCACCAGCCAACACTAACCACTGAGCCACACTGGCCAGGGCCACATTTGGTGACTTTGCCCGGTTTTACTCCTTAGCGCTGTCTTTGGCCAGCTTGCCCTCACTCTAGAGCCTTCAGTGGGGGTCCTGCAGGAGGTCCCCAGCCCATCTCTGCTCTGCGCAGTCTCCAGAGGGCTTGAGCTCTCCGGCCCCCCGGGGCCCAGGCCTGTCTGTGGGCGGAGGCCCGCTGTCTGACCCACGCAGTCCGCATCTCTCCCAGCAAACCTGCGCCTCTGCATGGCGTCGGCCCCGCTATCGGTCATCTGTGCAGCCAGGGGCGCTCCTGTTACCTCAGGAGCCCTGGGGGGCCACGACTGACAGTCAGATTTGCATATTCAGAATCCCAACCAGCTGTCCCACAGGGGATGGACTCTGGGGGGGGCAGTTCTGGTCCACTCAGAGCTGGTGAAGCCCAAGTGTACATGTGAGTGTGTCCTGCACCGTCCCCCTCTGGACGACGGGACCACCCGGCAGGGCAGGAACTCCCTCGGTATTTGCTGGACACGTGGCAGGATGAAAGGGAGCTGGGGCTGTGGTGCTGAGTGGCCCTGCCTGCAGGGCCCAGAGGCAAGGGCCCCCTGAACCCTGGCCAGGGCCCTGTGTGAGCTCGAGGAGTGGCCTCATCCAGCTCATCTCCCGTCCGTGGGAAAGCACTAATAACTGCCCACCTGCCTTCCGGGGTGACCCATAGACTGGGTGATGGTGACAAGTCATCCCAGGCTCAACCCAGGTCCTGCAGACCGGTGGCACCTAGTCCCAGTGACAGATGGGCCCCCCGGGGAGCAGAGGAGTAACTGCCCGCGTGCCCCCAAGAGGAGACTCCGGGACAGAAGGGGGGTCGGGGAGAGCTCA